TTTAAAAAAGACATGCAGTAGAATACATTTTGGCTTAAATGTATGCGGACATTTAATTTTTAAAATGTTTTATTGGATATGTTTTAATATCAGAAAGTAAACTTTTTTTTTCAAAAAAGTTTAGTTTTTTTTGTTTTTATAATAAAAAATAAAAAACACATCGGTGACCAAAAGAAATCTTCATTTGTGTGAATAAAAGTATATAAATTTAATTTGGGTACAGCACTGCATGACTGTGCAATTACCAGTTAATGTAGCACAGTGCAAAATAGCAAAAAAATGGTACGGTCATGAAGGGGGTAAATTCTTCCGGAGCTTAAGTGGTTAAGGGGGCACTGTAAATAACTCCTTTTTCTTAATGAGATATCTGCCCATGCTTGGCCACAGATATAACTAGTGTTGCTTGATGTGGCTAAAATCAAATGCATCATGTCAGGGCCGTATTTAATATTGATTGGACCCTGGGCAAATATGTTCTTGGGCTCCCCCATGCAATTCCGCTCCTCACCCGCTTTGAGGCATATAATAAATAGCAGCTAGACTCAAAATCAGTTTATTTAGCAGATCAGGCAGCAATTGATATTTGTTGCCAGAGGTTACAGCATATCATTACAGATCACTGACTGGTTGATAGAGGTTACAGAATACATTATGGCTCACTGATTAGTTGCTAGAAATTACAGCACATGATTTCTGCTTGCTGATTGGTTGCTAGAGGTTACTGCACATTATTACTGCTCACTGATTGGCTGCTAGAGTTTACTGCTCATCCTCTGATTGCTAGAGGTTACTGCACATCCTTACCACTTACTGATTGGTTGCTAGAGAATACTGCACATCACTACAGCTCACTGATTGGCTGCTAGAGGTTATTGCACATCATTACTGCTCACGGATTGTTCAATAGAGATTACAGCAGATCACTTCTGCTTCACTGACTGGTTGCTATTGGTTACTGTGAATCATTACCACTTATCGATTGCTAGAAGTTAAGCTCACTGATTAATTGCTGAAGGTTACAGCGTATCATCTACTCACTGCCTGAACACCATGGACTGGGAAGATGAGGGGACCCACTAAAAGACAAAAAACTCCTAGGGATTCTAGGACTCCTGGAATAAGTGGCAGTACTTGGAGGAGAGTGAGTGAGATCAGTGGCAGTGCTGGGGGGGTCGATGGGATCAGTGGTAGTGGTGGGAGGATGGGATAAGGGGCAGTGCTGGGGGTATGGGATGAGTGACAGTGCTAATGGGGGGATGGGATCAGTGGCAGTGCTTGGGGTGGATGGGATCAGTGGCAGTGCTTGGGGTGGATGGGATCAGTGGCAGTGCTAGGTGGGGATGGAAGACGACATTTTCTACGTAGAAGTAAGACACTGGCACATAAATGCAGTTTGCCAACTTCCTAAAATTCTATTTTATTGAGGAACTAACAGTAAAATTTATAGGTCTCATGATGCAGGCAAAGCATATACATTGATTGGGTGAAAAGTCCACTAGGTTTCTGTGTGTTCTTCCATCCATGTTGATATCTTCCAATCATTGTCACCAAAACGACTCATTCCCTTTTATGGAGGTTTGTTTACGTTAAAAGATACTTTTCTTCTAATGAGTCACCTAGGGTGAGACTCCGGATGAAGGCACCATCTTAATTATCATTGTTCTGTCAACTTATATCTGATTGTTTACTTAAGAGAGTAAGGAATTTAAAGAGCAAGAAGCAGAAAGTAGCAAGACTATAAAATTGTTATTTTACTGATCATCTAATAGAACGTGGACTGTCTATCACAATGCACTACACAACCACCAATGTAAGAGGGGATTTACACTGACCACCAGTGTAAAGGCAATTCTGCACTTACCACCAATGTAATGGGAAATTTACACTGACCACCTATGCACTGATGACCAATGTATTGAAAAATTTACACTGCCAACCAATGTAATGGGGGATTTTACACCAACAACCAATACATTTCTACACTGGCCACCAATGTAAAGGGGAATTTACACTGACCACCAATTTAAGGGGGGCTTCTACATGACCACCAATGTAAAGGTGGATTCGACACTAATCACAAATGCAAGTTAGGATTTTTTACTAACTATCAATATAAAGAGGAGTTTCTACACTGGCCACCAATGTAAAGGGGATTTATACTTACCACTAATGTAATAGGAGCATTCACAGTGACCACCAATGTGAGGAGTGATTTACATTGACCACCAATTTTAGGTGGGACATTCACAATTACCACTAGTGTGAATGAAAGGATTCTACACCAAGCCCCAATGTAATGAGAAGATATACACTGACCACCAATGTAACTAAGACATGTAAGCCTATGTTCACATTTCTGTGTGTTGGAAACACATGAAAGACCGCTTTCCTGACACTATAGAAATGTGCTGCCCTTTAGCAGATACACAGCAGTACCATTAATTTTTAATGACACCCTCACGCATCTGCTGACGTGCGTGTCTCCACATACACCAAAATTCACAGTGCTGTGGCTCGGTGTGATTTTGAAAAAGGGTAAGGGACTTTATTTCTTCATTTCTAGTGCATAGAGCAGCCCATTAAAATGAATGGGCTGCCCTACATGTGACTTTATTCACCCTGTTAAAGCACCTTTGCATCCTAAATTTCCCTGCTAAACTCCCCTATGTTCACCACTCGTACCCCCCCCCCCCCCCCTTAACTCCACATGCCTCCTCTGCTCATCTTTGCACCCACCTTACCTCTGTACATCCCCTTCTTGCTCACCAGTGACCACAGTTACTTTCAAGCATGCCACTGTTAACCTACCCAGTGGGCAGCATTCAGCAGAGGTGATGATGTGGGGAACCTCAGGGTGGTATAATATACATATGAGTGCTGCCTATATTTACATACAGTTGCAAGAAAAAGTATGTGAACCCCTTGGGATTATGTGGAGTTTTGCATGTATTGGGCATAAAATGTGCTCTGAACGTCATCTAAGTCACAACAATAGAAGAACAGTCTGCTGAACATAATACTACACAAACATTAGATGTTGCCATGGTTTAATTGCACATAACATGTAAACATTCACAGTGCAGGGAGGAAAAAGTATGTTTAGGCCCTAGCTTAATGACTTCTCCCAGAGCTAATTGGAGCCAGGAGTGAGCCAACCTTGACTCCAATCAGTGTGATGATATTGGATGTGTTGCTGACAGCTGTCCTGCCCTTAAAAAACACACACCTGTTTGGGGTTTACTGGTTTCAAGAAGCACTGTGTGATGTGAACCATGCCTCACAGAAAAGAGCTCTCAGAAGACCTACGATCAAGAATTGTTGACTTGCATGAAGCTGGAAAGGGTTACAAAAGTATCTGCAAAAGCCTTGATGTTCATGTGTCCACGGTAAGACAGACTGTCTACAAATGGAGAAAGTTTAGCACTGTTGCTACTCTCCCTAGGCGTGGTCATCCTGTAAAAATGACTGCAAGAGCACAGCGCAGAATGCTGCATGAGGTAAAGAAGAATCCCAGAGTGTCAGCTAAAGACCTACAGAAATCTCTGGCACATGCTAACATTTTTGTTGACACATATACAATAAGGAAAACATTAAACAAGAATGGAGTACATGGGAAGACAACACGGAGGAAGCCATTGCTGTCCAAAAAGAATATTGCAGCACGTTTGAAGTTTGCAAAAGAGCACCTGGATGTTCCAGAGCACTACTGGCAAAATATACTGTGGACAGATGAAACCAAGATTGAGTTGTTTGGGAAGAACACACAACACTATGTGTGGAGAAAAAAAGGCACAGCACACAAACATCAAAACCTCTGTAAAACATGGCGGAGGGAGCATCATGGTTTGGGGCTGCTTTGCTGCCTCAGGGCCTGGACGGATTGTTGTCGATGATGGGAAAATGAATTCCAGAGTTTATCAAGACATTTTGCAGGAAAACGTACGACCATCTGTCCGCCAACTGAAGCTCCGCAGAGGATGGGTGATGCAACAGGACAATGACCCAAAGCATACAAGTAATTCAACAAAACAATGGCTGCAACAGCACAGAATACGCCTTCTGGAGTGGCCCAGTCAGAGTCCTGACCTCAACCCGATTGAAATGCTGTGGCATCACCTTAAGAGAGCGATTCACACCAGACATCCCAAGAATATTGCTACACTGAAACAGTTTTGTGAAGAGGAGTGGTCCAAAATTACTCCAGATCGTTGTACAGGTCTGATCTGCAACTACAGGAAACGTTTGGTTGAGGTTATTGCTGCCAAAGCAGGGTCAACCAGTTATTAACTCCAAAGGTTCACATACTTTTTCCTCCATGCACTGTGAATGTTTACATGTTATGTGCAATTAAACCATGGCAACATCTAATGTTTGTGTAGTATTATGTTCAGCAGACTGTGTTCTTCTATTGTTGTGACTTAGATGACGTTCAGAGCACATTTATGCCCAATTCATGCAAAACTCCACGTAATCCCAAGAGGTTCACATACTTTTTCTTGCAACTGTATGAATGCCCCTGCTATTTACATATGGATGCTGCTGACCCGCCTCTATTTACATATGAAAGCCGGTGTATTTCCATGTCAATGCTGACACCCCCTGCATGTGAGTCATGGCAAAAGGGCAGAGCTGGGCAGCATAAGTGACAGCACTTCACCCTGAGATATTGGGACACAGCATAGGACGAAGACTTAAAGGGACAAGGGAATGTAAACTGGGACAGTTGGTAAGTATGTGGCAGCTGCTTTGGACCCCACACTGGACAGCTGCCCCTTTTGCCCCTCCTTAACCGCTTCTCTGCCACCCCATAGCAGAAATACTACTACAGGATGGCAGGGGTTCGCAAAATCATGTATATATATGTGAATTTGTATTTCCGGGTAGGGGGCGCACGCCGCCATTCGAGGCCGTCAATCACTGGGTCCCGGCCGGTGATTACTTGCCTGAGCCCGGTGATTACTGAGGATCTCCGATGGGGAGGAGGGCTGCTTTGCTTGCTAACAGTCCTCCTCCCTGTCGGCTCGGACACACTGCTCTGGATGGCTGTCCACAGCACAGCCATTCAAAGCAGTGTGCTTACAGTGAAGCGCCAACACACCACCCCCCCCCCAGTAAAACATTCCCAGCACACAGTTAACCCTTTGATCACCCCTCATGTTAACCCTTTGATCACCCCTCATGTTAACCCCTTCCTGCCCAGTGCCATTAGAACAGTGTCAGTGCTTTTGTTTTAGCACTGATCTCTGTATTGGTGTCACTGGGGATGTCAGTGACTCCATGTCAGTTCCCCCCAGTGTCAAAATGCCCATCGCAGTCCCATTATAAGTCGCTGATCGCCGCCATTACTAGTAGCAAAAAAAAATTCCAGTATATATACTGCCATTTGTAAATGCTATAACTTTCACATAAACCAATTAATTTACATGTAGCAGAATACATTTTGGCCTAAGTTTATGACGAAATTTGATTTTTTACATTTGTTTACTGGACATGTTTAATAGGAAAAAGTCAAAAATATTGTTTTTTTTTCTCAAAATTGTCAGTATTTTTTTTTATAGCGCAAAAAAGTAAAAAACGCACAGCTGATCAAATACCACAGAAAAAGCTCAATTCGTGAAAAAAAAGGAGGCAAATTAAATTTGGGTGCAGCATGCATGACCGCACAATTGTCAGTTAAAGAAACGCAGTGCCATAACGCAAAAAATGGCCTGGTCAGGAGGGGGGGGGGGGGATCCTCAGGAGGGCAAGTGGTTAATGACATCCCTGCATCATGTGATAAACATATGGGCAGCACAGTGGCTAAATGGTTAGCACTTCTGCCTGGCAGTACTAGGGTTATTGGTTCAAATCCCCATTACGGCACCACCTGCCTGGAGTTTGCATGTTCTTCCTGTGCCTGCGTGGGTTTCCTCCGGATACTCCGGCTTCCTCCCACACTCCAAAGACATGCTGGTCGGTGAATTGTATCCTGTCTAAATTGGCCCTAGTATGTGTATGTACGAATGTGAGTTAGGGACCTTAGATTGTATGCCCCTTGAGGGTTAGGGACTGATGTGAATGTACAATATATATGTAAAGCTATGCGTAAATTGACGGCGCTATATAAGTGTGATGGATTTGGTAAAATGCCTATTTCGTTTCCTATTGAATATATATATATACGCTATTTCTATAAGTTTTATAAATATTTACTTTTATACTTTAATACATATGTTGTGTGAATATTTTCTGCCTGCTGGGCTTTGTGGTACTATAAAAAATCCTTGCTTAAGAAATGTCTGCTCACACACACAGACCCCCTCCCACCGTGTGATTTGGGAAACAAAGGAATGTTTTTTCTTCTCTATGAGATAAGACTGAAGAAGATCACACCTATACCATGATGGAGATTGTTTTCGTGTGGAAATGACCAATCAAAGACTAATATAATGCTTATGCTGTTGTCACGTGACTCTCGCATCATTCTGCATATATAAGCTCACTTTCTCATTATAATAAACTAGAAGTATTCATAGACTGAACTTGTGTGTCAGCGTGAGTCCCTTCCAATGTGCACACATTTCAAAGCTAGCGTCATAAATTTTGGACAGGAACAGATAAGCAGTGGACGATTTCAGTCCGTGACTAAAACATAAGTACCTGAAATAAATAAATAAATAAATATCCATGGTAGCTTTAATCAAGACAGGTTGATCTTGCTTACCCCTTCCTCCTTTCACACTCCTCTCTTGCACACCAAGAGAATACAGGGCCCGGGTCTAACAACCTCAATGTGTTTGCATGCGTAGAGAGGCTGCCAAGTACCAAATTAAAACCAGAGACTTCAAAAGCATCACTGAATAAAGATATAATACATAGATTAACAACAAACGTGTACTAGAGACTGACGTGTGTCATCGACTGCCTCAGCTCCACCAATCACAGTATTTCCTGATATAAAACGCTGTTCAAAACCACAGGACTAAAAACAACCAGATGCAGGACACCCTCTTGCACCTCTCCTCCTGGCTCTAGTGGACTGAAGAAACCGTCAGCTTCTGTGATGATGTCACAGCGGAAAAGGAAATGATTATAGCGTGTCTGAAGTACAGTAATACATTAATTAGAGATATTGCAGCTGCAGGGGGGTGGACAGAATAAAAATACCCAGTCTTTCATTAGTATGCAGTCGACCAATATCATAGCCAATCAAATTTGAATTAAATCACAGAATCGGTAATATATTTTAATAACTTACAAACACAAAAAATATTATATACATGTTTCAAGAATATGCTAGAACTGTCACTCTTCTTGTTAAAGTAAAGAAACTCAAGTCATCAATAACGGGAATGTGAAATAAAGAATAGATTCATGTTAAACACAGATTTAAAGTGGAACGTCACTCTCTCTATCAACATTGACTATTTTTAATCCTTATGCTGCCAGCATTAGTAAATAGATAGAAAAGTATATCATATTTACTTGTTTTAAACTTTTTTTTTTTTTACATTTCTGTCAGTTACTTCCTGGTGTCCATGCCTTGGCAAATGATTCCATACATCCCAGGAGCCTTCATGAGGGTAGGAGGATTTTTCTCAGCTAAGCAACCCTCCCGACTGCATGCCTATTCTAAGGGCAGGTGGATTCCAGGAAGTGCTACATAAATCATCTGCCAAGATGGCCATGGCCAGAAAGGCTGGGGGGGGGGGGGGTATTTTTCAAAGTGATTACTCAGCAAGATATAGCATGGAGACATGGATAGATGGGTAACTTAGCTCTGAATATTAAAAGTGAATTAAATAGCGTTTGTTTTGTGGTGTTCAGATGTGGTGTAGTTCCACTTTAAGTTACCCCTTCATATTTGCATTGAGTTATAAAGACTGATTCCATTTCTTTATAATTTATAATTTTGTAAGCCCCATACAAAATATTAAACATTACGTTTTGAAATACAATAGAGATAAAGCATTTTAACACAGCAAGACAAAATCGTGATCATGCAGAAGCCAGCTAAAACAAAGCATATTAAACCATTCTGTAAATAGGAAACCACTAATAAAACAAAAGTTACAAAAAAATGTAACATGTCCAAACACATTGCAACTGCTGTCAATTCTGCAGTCTCATCCCTACAGGACATATAACTCACTAATTCACTGGAGTTGCAGAGGCAAAGGGCATTTTTCACACTGGCTAAAAGAGAATATATTAATATAGCAAGATTTATGCTGGCAGCATAAAAAGATGAAATAAGAAAGGATGTTATAAATGATGAAATCTGCCTTGGGGATCAATACAGAGAGGAAGCAAATGTAAATCATAAAAAATCAGATTAAATGTGGCCAGGGCTGTGCAGCATATTGAAAATTCAACCAACTGCACTCTGTTCTACCCATCACAACACTGAATCATCATAAATCCACGATCATGGAAAATAAACTTTCAGCAGAACAGTATAGCTGCTCTTGTCACTCAAACCTTTCATTTGTCATTGTTTACAGAAGCTGCTGTCAAATATGAACAATTCAGCTTTTAAGCAACTCGGTGTGTGATGAGTGAAAAAACTCTGCTCCTTCCTGAGATCCACTGTTCCCCCAGTGGTGCCACCCATCTTGCCTTTCTATCAAAGAAGGGGTAAAACCAGATTGGCAATTGCAGCCCGCACATCAAGGACATCTCTGCCCTCCCCCAACAGTCATAGATCACTGCCGTTTTGGAATACAGTGTTCATGTATTTTGTGCAACAACTACATCAGTATGCAGTAGAGATATCACCTTCCACCAGTAGATGGCAGTGTTTATAAGTTTGTAGCTGCATCTATGGTATACTCTGTCTTTTCTTTGAATAGAGTTTCCTGTTTCCTTGTTGCAGCAGAGCAGAAAAGTACATGAGGACTGTGCACTGTCTATTTTGTATTGCTACATACAGAATTTTTAACACCTTTAAATATACTGCTCAAAAAGTTAAAGGAACACTTTGAAAATGCATCAGATCTCAATGGGGAAAAATATCATGGTGGATATCTATACTGATATGCACTGGGTAAAGTGTTAGGAACATAAAGATGCCCCATTGTTTGATAGAAATGAAAATTATCACCCTACAGAGGACTGAATTCAAAGACATCCCAAAAATCAAAGTAAAAAAATGATGCAGCAGGCTAGGCCATTTTACTGAAATTTCATTGCAGCAACTCAAAATGGTACTCAGTAGTTTGTATGGCCCCACGTGCTTGTATGCATGGCTGACAACATTGGGGCATGCTCCTAATGAGACGATAGTTGGTGTCCTGGGGTATTTTCTTCCAGATCTGGACCAGGGCATCACTGAGCTCCTGGACAGTCTGAGGTGAAACCTGGCAGCATCAGATGGACCAAAACATGATATCCCAGAGGTGTACTATTGGATTTAGGTCAGGGGAGTGTGGGGGCCATTCAATGGTATCAATTCCCTCATCCAGCAGGAACTACCTGCATACTCTCGCCACATGAGGCTGGGCATTGTCGTGCACCAGGAGGAACCCAGGGCCCACTGCACTAGTGTAGGGTCTGACAATGGGTCCAAGGATTTCATCCCAATACCTAATGACAGTCAGGGTGCCATTGGCTAGCCTGTAGAAGTCTGTGCGTCCCTCCATGGATATGCCTCCCCAGACCATTATTGACCTACCACCAAAACGGCCATGCTGAATGATGTTACAGGAGGCATAATATTCTCCTCAGCTTCTGTAAGACCCTTTCACGTCTGTCACATGTGCTCAGGGTGAATCTGCTCTCATCTGTGAAAAGCACAGGGCGCCAGTGGTGGACCTGCCAATTCTGGTGTCCAGTGGCAAATGTTAATTGAGCTCTATGGTGCCAGACAGTGAGCACAGGGCCCACTAGAGGACATTGGGAACTCAGGCCACCCTCATGAAGTCTTTTTCTGATTGTTTGGTTGGAGACATTCACACCAGGGGCCTGCTGGAGGTCATTTTGTATGGCCCTGGCAGTGCTCATTCTGTTCCTCCTTACACAAAGGAGCAGATACTGGTCCTGCCGATGGGTTAAGGACCTTCTAAAGTCCTGTCCAGCTCTCCTAGAATAACTGCCTGTCTCCAGGAATCTTCTCCATGCTCTTGAGACTGTGCTAGGTGACACAGCAAACCTTCTGGCAATGGCACGTATTGATGTGCCATCCTGGAGGAGTTGGACTGCTTGTGCAAGCTCTGTAGGGTCCAGATATCACCTGGCTAGCTACCAGGGGAGTGTTTAGAGATGGAGAATGAGGCAAAACTGGTAACGTTTCATGAAAAAACAGGAATGCTTAGTATGCATGTTTTTTTGTCTGAAACAATTTATGG